TCGTCATTGTCTGGGCATTCAAGTCCTGCCTGATTCTGCCACTTGCACGCATGCAGGTGAATGTGAGGAGAGAATGAGCAGGCCAGGAGCCAGCCTGATATTCCTTTTATCTCCTGCTATTTTTCCTCCTAATTGTTACCCATCATCTATTTTTTTCTCTTTTTGGCTTTTTGGGTCACACCTGGTGATGCCTCAGGGGTTACTCCTGGCTCTGCACTCAGGAATTACTCCTGGCAGTGATTAGGGAACCCTCTGGGGTGCAGGGATAGAACCCAGGCCAGAACCCTCACCGGAATTCTTTCGCTCTGGTCCCCCAGCATCTATTCTTGATTGAACACCTTTTCAGGTAGGCAAAATTAAAATAACCAGCAGTGGAAGTAGGATTTCTGGTGCTCCACTAGCTCAATGTGTGACCTGGTGCTCCACCCTCACACTGCCACCATTATCAATATCTCTTTTAATACAATATAATATAATGCAGAGTGCCTAATATATATATGAATATGAATATATACATATGTAATGTTTACCATAAATATGCATGAATCTAAGCACATTTTTCTCAGGCTTACAATATGAAGTTTCTGCATATTATGAAATGATCCTCAAAGCCAACCCTACATCACTGCAGTTACAATGATTTGTTTCCTTAGGATGAGCTGTGTGCATGCGTGAGTGATTGTGCATGCGTGTGTGTGTGCGTGTGTGTGTTTATGTGTATCAGCACCAATAAGCTCTTTCAGGACCTGCTTCTCAGCAACTTTCTAACGTGTGACTCCCCGTTATAAGCAGTAGTCAGGAGGCTGCTTGCTAATTAGAGAGGAGGAGAGGGAGAATTATTCCTCAGAGCAGGCAACAACCAGTAATGTGAGGGCTGGAAAATAGGCCAATGACTCATTATAAATAGGCTAGTGATTTGGTTTGGTTCAGAGAGGGTTTATTTAGGGTTTTTGCCCTTATATATGTGCTTTTCATTTCTTAACCTAGGGATGCATTATCTCAAAGCAGGCTTTCTGCACTCACCCACACCTCAGGCCACTTGCCCATTTATTTTTAGCTGAATTCCTTTCTGTTTTGGTCTTGAGTTAGGTGACATCTTGAAAGAGTTTTGTTGTTGTTGTTATTTTGTTTGGGGCTCAATGCTTACTCCTGGCTCTGTGCTCATGGATCACTCCTGGTGGTGCTTGGAAAACCCGATGGGGTTCCAGGGATTGAACCCAGGTTGGATGTGTGCAAGGTCCTCCCCATTGTCCTACTGTCCCAGCCTTATCTTGATACAGTCTGAAGAGGAAGCTCTTGCATATATGCTGTGCAACTATCTTCTCCAAACTATGAGATGGCTTCTGGGTTTGACTTGTTTGTGGGCTTTTGGCATGGGAAAGCTTTTTAATTCCTCTTGAGGTAGTCACGCCACAGACTCATTTCCTCCTTCTTGCTTTAGTCTCCCTTGTCGCTGGACTTGAGGCTCCAAGTGCATCTCTGAGGGGGAGCTCCTGGACCTCCTACTTTGTCTCCGAAGGATTCTGTGAGTTTGGGTTCAACATCCAAGTCTCCAGGACAATTCTCGTCCATGCCTGTGGGTGAGGCACAGCACTGCCACTGCCCCCAGCCAACTCTCCTTTTCTAGGGTTAGTAGAGATCCCTAAGCTGACTTTATGCTCTTTCTCCCTCTCTCTCTCCTCTCCCCTCCAGGCCCAATTTGAGCAACTACAGCCTCATTCCCAGGTCTTTCTGAAGGAGGGGACATCTAACTCCTCCTGATGCACCAAGTTCCATGAGACCTTTGCAAATGTGTTAATCAGCTTCCCCCTTCCTCACCTCCACATGGCCCCCAACCACAAGGGAGAAAGTGAGAGAGAGAGGGAGGGAGAGGGAGGGAGAGAGAGGAAGGGAGGGAGGAAAGGAGAGAGAGAAGGAGGGAGATGCTCACTGTAACTCTGACCTCATAGCCTTGCACGTGGTGCTTTGCTAACATTTCATATCAAAAATATGTTTCAACCCTTATTCCCTAAACTATAATTTTAAAATAGAATGACTAAAGCAAGACTAAGAAAAATGCCCGTTTCCAGGCTGGACAGAGCTGAGCAGACAGCAATGCCTGTGCTGCAGACAGCTCTTTATGCCTGAGGGCTCATTGGTGAACAAGTCGTGTCCCTTCCACCTGTGTGTCTACTGGGTGACCCCTGAGGACACACCTGGGCCAGCCTTAGGCTGGAGGTATGGCCTGGCTTCCTCCACTGACTTCAAATCTTCAAGGATGGAATGATGGGAGGGGGTTAGGCTAGGAAAGGGGCTTCTCCATTATGGGGCTCAGCTCATATTGGACCGTCTTGGAGTCAGTCCATGAAGCTAAAACTCGACCTGTGGACACCTACACATGGTTGAAGAGTTTCACTGCATCCCTCACTGCCAGATACACTACACGGATCCTCAGCTGTGGCAGAGACATGTGTTCACATGTGTAGAGGGACATGATACAGTGTTGCCCAAATGTGGCAAGGTCCAGCCCTGGTGTGACATGCCCAGAGTATCCTCAGCACAGGTCTGATATGTTGTCTCCAGGTCCAGGCCTCGCATGAGGAGCAGGAGAGTGTGGCGCATTCCCACAATGCTTTTCTGAAGCTTCCCCGATGCAGAGACAACTCTGGGTACAGACGATAGGAGGTGGTTGAAATAGCAGAATATTCTCTAGGGAGTGAAAGGGGCCTGCTGGCGTCCTTCTTTGACTCAGATCTGTAAACATAAGAAACTGCCGGTAAAATCTATTAGTTTGTATGTTTCTTTAGGATAATGCATGTGAAGTTGCTCATTTTTGTGCAGCTTAAGGAGCAAGATGGTGCAGAAAATCTAAGATTCCATATTTCAGAACATCAGCATTACAGATGTATGGCCAAATAGGAAGGGTGAAACAGTGGGCTGTGAAGATTACATGAAGCTTGTCCCTTTGTTTGCAATTGATCCTGGGACCAAAAGAACTAACTTTGCACACTGTCCACCCCAGTTCAGTCCCCTGAATCATACAGTCCTGGACTGAGTGATCCCTGAGCACAGAGTAAAGAGGAAGCTGTGAGCATTGCTGGATGTGGATCCAACATGACAAAACAAAACAAAAAAAAGAATTACACCAGTACACTTTTATGAAAATCATTTTTATTAAAATGTCTAGGATCACACAAAAGTTATAAATCAAATGTATAAAATAAGAAACAATGTGTATACAGCTATAAATCACCAGGAAGATGGTGCAGCCCACAGGTTCCCCCGGAGCACAACTCCGAGTGCTGGAACCCGGGTCCCCCCACATCCCCCCCCCCCAGAGCTTATGTTTGGGTATCCCGGCAAAGGCAGAGGAGGGGGAAGCATCCAAACACGTCCTGAGTCACAGGCAAAAACGTCCCGCAGGCAGCAGAGCACACACACTCGGTGCCAGGCTGGGTCCGGCGTTGCTGGGCTGTCAGAGGCGGGGCCCCCGTGGGAGCGGAAGGCTGTGCAGGACCCGCAGGCTTTTCTGGCCTTTCCTGCTCTTCCTCTTGGCGGCCGTGGCACACGCTTCCGGGACAGCTTTCTGGGGCGCAGGCTGCTCCCAGGGCGCCCCGTGCCCGCACCTGGAGCCGTGGATCACCACAGCGTCGGCAGGCAGGGTGGCCTCCGTCTTCCTGAGGTTGGGTGGCGGCTTGGGCCGGCTCTGCTCCTGCAGCCGCCTCCAGCAGTCCAGGCTGAGGCCAGAAGAGTCCTCACCAGACTCGGGGTGCCCGGACGCCGAGGGCTCGCGCTCACTGTCAGGGCGGCCCGGATGCTCCCCGGGGATCCCCGAGGACACGCAGCCCGGCCCGTCCGGCCCGGCCCAGCCCCAGTCGCCGCCGCCTCTCTCCCACTCGGCCTTCTGCGCGTAGAAGAGGACGTAGGCCTGCTGGCTGAGGACGCGGGACACGTCGCAGGCGCTGACCTTGGCGTCGTCCATCTGGTACCACTGGCCGTCCGCCGCTCTGACGTAGCACAGGTAGTGGCCGCTGTGGGAGTCCCAGCCGGTGTGCACCAGGACGGCATAGAGCGCGTAGACGAGAGGCCCCTCCTGGCGCTCCGACGTGCAGCCGCCCACGTCCAGGCACTCGGGGTAGCGCACGTGGCCAGCCAGCTTGGCGCCGCCGCCGTCCTGGCAGAACCTCTTCAGCACCAGCATCAGGACCCGCGAGGCCGCGTGCAGGGTCAGCGTCTTGGTGGCGGGCGACTTCTGGCCGCAGGTGCCGCACAGGTAGGCGTCCGGCCCCTCCAGTCTCTCGGGCTTCACCAGCTCTCGCAGGGCTCGGGCCACGCTCGGAGCTGCTCCCACGTCCAGCGCCACGTCCAGGTACGGCTCAAAGGTGTCGGAGACGGCCAGGCAGCGCAGACACTGCATCTGGGACCGCCAGCGGCCTCCAAAGATGCCCGCGACGTCGGCCGGCTCCCGCCCGCCACCCTGCGGGCAGCCTTGCTGCATGGCGTCCAGCGTGAACAGGAGGAATTCGTGCGCGTCTTCCTGCCGCTGCCTGTGGAATCCGGCCAGCAGCGATGGGCACGGCTCGAGGACCTCCCCGGGGCGCCGCAGGGCCCGGCTGATGTGCTGCCGCACGCCGCACGCCCTGCAGCAGGCCCGCTGGCCGGGGGCGCCGCCATGAAGTCCGGACGCCGCCCAGCTGGCCAGGGCCGGAGTGTAGGTCAGACACTGCAGGGCGGCGTTCACGTAGCAGCTGTTCCCGACGTTCCGCAGCCCGGCCCCCACCGCGCGTCCTGTCTTCCCCTCGGGCGGGGGAGCCTTGGCGCCAGCCCGCGCCTGGCCCCTGGGAGCCAGACCCATCTGCGACGTCGCGGGCAGCGACTGGGGGGCGGCCTCAGCCAGGGGCGCGGCGCTGCTGACCCCAGCCTTCTTCTTGCTGCTCCAGGATGCGGCTTGGGCCATCCCTCGGCTTGAGTGCAAGCTGTCCAGGGCAGAGAAGGGGCCTCCGTGCCTCCAGAACTCGGCGATGAAGGCCTCGTCGCAACGACGACGACTTCCCTTGGCAGAGCGCTGGAAAGAAGCTCAGCCCCCTGGCGCGCGAGTCCCTAAATACCTGGATGCAGCCCCGCCCAGGCACAGTCTCTGCCCACCGATCTCCAACCTGTCCAATCCGGTGAGGGAAGAGTAGGGTGTGTGACCAATCCCTGAGCTCACATGAGCCCTAAGCAGCTGGCCACGGCAGGGTGTGGCGGGCGTAGGGCGTGGCCAGTTGCGGAGGCCCTAAGGCCACCGGAGCCCTGGGATGCTGTGTCTCCAGAGGCCCTTCAGACTGACCCGCAACTCTTCAGGAAAGCATTCCCAAAGGAAGGTTCTTATGCAATTTGTATTATAAAATTTAAACACATTTATATTTAGTTATATTTTCATTGCACTAACATACACCTCAGAGACCTGGGCCCTACAAAAATAGGATGAGAACGCTATTCGGGTCTCCCAAAGAGGAATTGAAAGAGCTTTGCTTGGAATATGACACCACTCAAATGAGAGAAGGAGTCCAGAGTTCTGAACTCCATCAATGATCAAAGGTCAGGGACGCTGCCTCATTTGCCAAGGGGTGGAAAATCTGAAGGTTTGGACACGTAATGCAATTTAGAGATGACCGGTGGACTAGAGCTGTTACCAACTGGGAAGTCAAAAGAACACGTGGGCCCCCATGTACAAGATAGCCAGACATCTTCATCAAAACCCTGAACAAATGGCTTGAGGGCTCTTTGTGTTCCTGGAGCAAACAGATTCCATTGGGCTACACTAGCATGTGACAGAAATGAATGGAGACATTACTGACGCCTGCTTGAGCAAATCGAAGATCACTGGAATGACAAGTGATACAAGTGACATATTTTCATAAATAATATATAATATAGTGGAGTTCATGCAAAATTCAATCAGCTAACCAGTGGCTGAATAAATAGCAGTACTCCTACATTAAAAATAAATAAATAACATATAATATGAAGAATATTCATAAGATTTTAACTACATGTTTCACATATATGATATATTATTTTATTTATAATGTATAATACTCATATAATAACGCATTATATTTTTATAAATTTATGATCACTTGATCACTCAACATCTCATGACTCATCCATTTGCTCGAGCGGGTGCCATTAATGTCTCCATTAGTCCCTGTCACGTACTAGTGTAGTCCAATGGCATCTGCGCATTCTAGGAACACGAAGAGCCTCAAACCGATCATTCAGGGTCTTGACAAAGAAGTCTTACCATCTAGTAGGTGGGCCGCCACGTGGTCTTTTGACGTCCCGTGGAAGTGGAATCCAGTTGGTAACGGCTCTAGTCCAGTGGTCATCTCCAAATCTCATTATGTGTCCACCCATCTGATTTTCGATGCCTTGAGAAACAAGACTACCTCCACTACCAAGATGCCACCATACTACAGGACGCTTTCCGGATGCTCGGGCCAAGACTCACACACAAGTGAAGCCCCAGAGAACAAGATAAGCGGAACTCTGAGACCTTGGAGTCCAGGCTCAAGGGACCTGGGCACAGAGATCCTCTGCCTGCTCCCACCAACCACCGGTGACCAAGGGATTAAAACCAGGAGCCCCACCCTATTCTGCCCTGTCTGCAACCCCAGGATTACGCAAAAAAGACCCACCCTACCGGTACCAGAGAAATACCTCACCAGCAGACCTCCACTACCTCCACTACCCAGCTGCCACCATGCTCCAAGACACTTTCTGGATGCTCGGGCCAAGACTCACGCATGAGTGAAGCCCCACAGAACCAGGTAAGAGGAACTCTGAGACCTTGGAGTCCAGGCTCAAGGGACCTGGGCACAGAGATCCTCTGCCTGCTCCCACCAACCACAGGTGACCAAGGGATTAAAACCAGGAGCCCCACCCTATTCTGCCCTGTCTGTGACCCCAGGATTACGCAAAGAAGACCCACCCTACCGGTACCAGAGAAATACCTTACCAGCAGACCTCCATTACCTCCACTACCTTCACTATCCAGCCGCTGCCACACTCCAGGATGGTTTCTGGACCATGCGACACATCATAAGACACTTAATACCCATCTTCCAGGATTGCCGCACCATATTTGATAGGGTTCAAATACGGTTTGATAAATAAAGGGTGTTGGGAGGATCCTCCCAGGATGGAAGAAGCATGCTGAAAGTAGACTATGGACCGAACATGATTGCCACTCAATGCCTCTTTTGCAAACCACAGCACCCAAAAGGAGAGAGAGAGAACAAAACGGAATGCCCTGCCACAGAGGCAGGGTGGAATGGGGGGATGGGGGTGGGAGGGATACTGGGATCCGTGGTGGTGGAAAATGGGCACTGGTGGAGGGATGGGTACTTAATCATTGTATAATTGAAACCCAAGCACAAAAATTTGTAAGTATACTCCTATACCTCTTGGTTTGTCACTAATAAAAATTAAAAAAAAAAACTTCTGTGAAACATGGTGTTCTAAAGCAGTAAAAACAAAGAATTTAAAGAAACGGTTGCACTTTTGCTAATTTATATTAATTTAAGGGATTAATATTTCTTATGACATTGAAATTTTAAAAATATAATTAAATCACCGTACATAAAAAATTGTCTTGAGTCATAGTTATATTTAAATAAAACATTAGAAAAGAAACTTTTCTAAATAAACTTCTCTGGTATTAGGACAATTTAATAATTCACTATTTTTATTATTTCTAAAATATGAGGATATTTAATGAATTTTATTACTTGAATTACATTGCTATAAAGTTTTATTACTTTAAAATGCAAATATAATAACACATATACAGTAACTTCTCTTAATAACTAACTGAGTTTTAATTAGTAGGGCAATGATAGATGTTCCTCAAAATGTTATTTTGTTGCAATGAGTGGGTAAAATATGTTTATATTTTATAATGATATGACATAATTCAATACAAATAGTGCAATTAATGAAAACACCTTTGTGACTGTAAATTTGATATTTCAATGATAAAATTTTGACTGTGTTAACATTTTGTTATTTTAATAAAACTCTTATAAATTTATATTTATGTGTATCTTGAAAAACATAGACCACAGATTGTGTTCAATTTCAGACACATTGAATGCAATTTTTGTATTGTTTTCTATTCAGAAATAGAAATAAATATCCTTTCTTATTCTATAAAAAATGGTTTAAACCATGGGAACACCTACAAGGGTGATTAGAGGCCACCCTAAAAGTCTCTATCCCTCTCGGAGACCCTGGCAAGCTACTGAGCATATCCTGCTCGCACGGCAGAGCGTGGCAAGCTATCTGTGGCGTATTCGATATGCTAAAACCAGTAAATACAATGGGTCTCATTCCCCTGACCCTGAAAGAGCCCCCAATATGGCAGCGTTAAGAAGGATGAGGAAGGAGAGGCTGATAAAATCTCAAGGCCGAACTAGTCTGCCAAAACGAAGAAAGACAAAAATGACTGTCTGTAATTTCAATGCACGCACACTGGTATCGGATGCATCCATCAAGGACTTGATGGTATAAGCACGAAAGATCAAGTACAACATCATTGGTCTGACTGAGACAAGAAGGCATCAATCACATCATGCCCTTTTCGACACTGGAGAACTGCTCCTAGGAACATTCGACAAAAGAGGTGTTGGTTGTGTCAGAATCCTTGTCAACACGAACTTGGCCATAAGCATTGATTCATTTTAATGCCAAACAACCCAAATCGGACAACTACACTTGAATAGATGTGGCTCACTGCCGGCAGTTTCTATCTTCGTTGTCTGTACACCAACATCCAATTATGATGAAGGAGAAATTGAGAAGTTCTACATGGAGCTGGAGAAGTTCTATAAATAAGACCATACCGTCTACAAGATCATTGTCGGTGATTTTAATGCCAAGATAGGACCAAGAAGATCAGCCGAAGAACTCCACATCAGGACCCATGGCCTTGAATGGAAAAATTTATGATAAAAGACATTAATTTTTCCAGTGCATAAGCCTGGAATATGTATTTTCCTCTTTTTTTATAATTTAGTTTTTTTAAATTAAATTTATTTGTGAGTTACAAAGTAACAAAGTAGTTCAGGGTTGGGTATCAGTCATACTATGTTCTGACAATTGTCCCATTCACCAATGTATGTTTCTCACTACCAGTGTCCCCAGATTCCCTCCCACAAACCACCCTTCCAGCCTACCACTATGGCAGAAATTTTTCTTCTCTCTCTTACACTCGCACACCAGTGTTCCCTCTCACTCTCTATCCCCCACTCTCTTTTAGAAAGAGCAAATGACGCCATTATCTCTCAACTTTTATCCATCTTTTTCTTCGGTTCTTCATTTTGATGCCTCTACAAGATGTCTTTCTCAGTAGGGTTCCTCGCTCAGTGTAAGGTGCAGCAGAGGAGCTTTCCTGAAGAGTTGCGGGTCAGTCTGAAGGGCCTCTGGAGACACAGCATCCCAGGGCTCCGGTGGCCTTAGGGCCTCCGCAACTGGCCACGCCCTACGCCCGCCACACCCTGCCGTGGCCAGCTGCTTAGGGCTCATGTGAGCTCAGGGATTGGTCACACACCCTACTCTTCCCTCACCGGATTGGACAGGTTGGAGATCGGTGGGCAGAGACTGTGCCTGGGCGGGGCTGCATCCAGGTATTTAGGGACTCGCGCGCCAGGGGGCTGAGCTTCTTTCCAGCGCTCTGCCAAGGGAAGTCGTCGTCGTTGCGACGAGGCCTTCATCGCCGAGTTCTGGAGGCACGGAGGCCCCTTCTCTGCCCTGGACAGCTTGCACTCAAGCCGAGGGATGGCCCAAGCCGCATCCTGGAGCAGCAAGAAGAAGGCTGGGGTCAGCAGCGCCGCGCCCCTGGCTGAGGCCGCCCCCCAGTCGCTGCCCGCGACGTCGCAGATGGGTCTGGCTCCCAGGGGCCAGGCGCGGGCTGGCGCCAAGGCTCCCCCGCCCGAGGGGAAGACAGGACGCGCGGTGGGGGCCGGGCTGCGGAACGTCGGGAACAGCTGCTACGTGAACGCCGCCCTGCAGTGTCTGACCTACACTCCGGCCCTGGCCAGCTGGGCGGCGTCCGGACTTCATGGCGGCGCCCCCGGCCAGCGGGCCTGCTGCAGGGCGTGCGGCGTGCGGCAGCACATCAGCCGGGCCCTGCGGCGCCCCGGGGAGGTCCTCGAGCCGTGCCCATCGCTGCTGGCCGGATTCCACAGGCAGCGGCAGGAAGACGCGCACGAATTCCTCCTGTTCACGCTGGACGCCATGCAGCAAGGCTGCCCGCAGGGTGGCGGGCGGGAGCCGGCCGACGTCGCGGGCATCTTTGGAGGCCGCTGGCGGTCCCAGATGCAGTGTCTGCGCTGCCTGGCCGTCTCCGACACCTTTGAGCCGTACCTGGACGTGGCGCTGGACGTGGGAGCAGCTCCGAGCGTGGCCCGAGCCCTGCGAGAGCTGGTGAAGCCCGAGAGACTGGAGGGGCCGGACGCCTACCTGTGCGGCACCTGCGGCCAGAAGTCGCCCGCCACCAAGACGCTGACCCTGCACGCGGCCTCGCGGGTCCTGATGCTGGTGCTGAAGAGGTTCTGCCAGGACGGCGGCGGCGCCAAGCTGGCTGGCCACGTGCGCTACCCCGAGTGCCTGGACGTGGGCGGCTGCACGTCGGAGCGCCAGGAGGGGCCTCTCGTCTACGCGCTCTATGCCGTCCTGGTGCACACCGGCTGGGACTCCCACAGCGGCCACTACCTGTGCTACGTCAGAGCGGCGGACGGCCAGTGGTACCAGATGGACGACGCCAAGGTCAGCGCCTGCGACGTGTCCCGCGTCCTCAGCCAGCAGGCCTACGTCCTCTTCTACGCGCAGAAGGCCGAGTGGGAGAGAGGCGGCGGCGACTGGGGCTGGGCCGGGCCGGACGGGCCGGGCTGCGTGTCCTCGGGGATCCCCGGGGAGCATCCGGGCCGCCCTGACAGTGAGCGCGAGCCCTCGGCGTCCGGGCACCCCGAGTCTGGTGAGGACTCTTCTGGCCTCAGCCTGGACTGCTGGAGGCGGCTGCAGGAGCAGAGCCGGCCCAAGCCGCCACCCAACCTCAGGAAGACGGAGGCCACCCTGCCTGCCGACGCTGTGGTGATCCACGGCTCCAGGTGCGGGCACGGGGCGCCCTGGGAGCAGCCTGCGCCCCAGAAAGCTGTCCCGGAAGCGTGTGCCACGGCCGCCAAGAGGAAGAGCAGGAAAGGCCAGAAAAGCCTGCGGGTCCTGCACAGCCTTCCGCTCCCACGGGGGCCCCGCCTCTGACAGCCCAGCAACGCCGGACCCAGCCTGGCACCGAGTGTGTGTGCTCTGCTGCCTGCGGGACGTTTTTGCCTGTGACTCAGGACGTGTTTGGATGCTTCCCCCTCCTCTGCCTTTGCCGGGATACCCAAACATAAGCTCTGGGGGGGGGGGGATGTGGGGGGACCCGGGTTCCAGCACTCGGAGTTGTGCTCCGGGGGAACCTGTGGGCTGCACCATCTTCCTGGTGATTTATAGCTGTATACACATTGTTTCTTATTTTATACATTTGATTTATAACTTTTGTGTGATCCTAGACATTTTAATAAAAATGATTTTCATAAAAGTGTACTGGTGTAATTCTTTTTTTTGTTTTGTTTTGTCATGTTGGATCCACATCCAGCAATGCTCACAACTTTCTGCTGAGTATGCGCAGGGATCTACTCCAATCTCATGTCACCATATTTGAGTCAATGCATGGACTGAACTGGGGGCCAGGGGTAACTTTCAAAGTAAATTTTTTGTCCTCTGCACTATATCTCACCAGTCTCTATACTGTGTCTCACCAGTCTCCACTGAAAAAAAAAAACATTCAACAACAAAAAGACCAAGCTTCACATGATGTCTACAAGATGCTTCTAAATTAATCCTATTTAGCCTAGAATTTTTCACAAGTATGTGGTGAAAGATGGAATTTAGGTTTTCCCTGGCCAGCATGTTTCTTGGGCTCCACTAAAACACTGATTTCACACATCTGCCTAAAGAAACACACCCAGTAGTAGAATGCACTGGTCAGTTCTGGTGTTACCTGACTTGCTTCATAAGAGGACTTGAGGGTTGCAAAACCAGGCACCTTTGCAGCTTGTGGGAGTGTTTCCCTTTTCTTAGAACAACCTCCATGTGGCCAATTTCAGAGCCGACTTGGGAGTGTGAAGCTTCCAGAAGGTATGGTAAGAACTACACTGCACTCCTTTTTGCTCTTTGTGGGAAGACGGGAGGAGTGTGTGTAGATGTGGACATATGTGCCAGGCTGCTACTGGGGGCAATGTGGAGCACAGTCTGCTTTCCACAGTTGTCATTCCCTGCCACACCACACGAATGGCTCTTGCATTTAGTTTGGGTTGTGTCATACCTTGTGGCGCTCAGGTTTTACTCCTGGCTCTGCACTGAGGAATCCCACTAGCCGAAGCTCAGGGAACTCTGTGGATTGCTGAGGCTCAAACACAGGTCTGCAGCATTTAAAGCCAGCACCTTCCACACATTAATATCGAGTCCCACAGCACACTAGTTTACACAAGCACAACAGTTTTCCAAACAGCAAATACCTCCTGAATGTGTTGGGATGGAGGTTGGAGAAGATAGAAGGTTGGACTGAGAAACCAGAAATGCCGAAATAGCTTATGTGGGTCTGTTATACCTGCCTGGAGGGAGGAGTGTGGGAAGATGGTGGAAAATATACAGACTGGGAGGGGGAGGTGGTGCCATTCAAGGACTGAGCTGTGACATCTTGCAAGTCTGCAGGTCTGGACAATTCTGCAAATAACCAGAGATCTCTGACCACTGCTTTTGGGAAACCTTGGGGTCCAGGTAACCTAGGATTAGAATTGGGAACAGGGTGAGCTGGTGAGAAGGCTCTAGTTTTTGAAAATTCATTTTCATTCTATTTTTAATTCCCTGCCCCCTTCCTTCCTTATTGATGCTGGTAGGGGGCCCCAGATGATTTATGTCTAATGGGGAAGATAGAGGCAGCAGCCCAGAGAAGGGAATGCCTCTCTCTCTTGCTCTCTCCCTCTCTCCCTCCCTCCCTCTTTATCTTTCTCCCCTCACTTCCTCCATCTCTCTCTCTTCTTCCCTCTCTCTGTTCTACCTTTCCCCCTCTCTCTTCTCCGTCTCCCTCTATTCCTCCCTCTCCATCTCTCTTTCCCTTTCTCCTCCTCTCTCTCCCTCCCTCTTTCTCTTCTCCCTCTCTCTCCCTCTCTCTCTTCCTCCCTTCCTCTCTTTCACTATCTATTCCTCTCTCTCATCTGTTAGGATGGAGCGATAGCACAGCGGGTAGGGCGTTCGCCTTACAAGCGGCCAACATGGCCGACCCAAGTTCGATTCCTCCGCCCCTCTCCGAGAGCCCGGCAAGCTACCGAGAGTATTCGATATGCCAGACACAGTAACAACAAAGTCTCCAATGGAGATGTTACTGGGCCCGCTCGAGCAAATCGACGATCAACGGGAGGGCCTTTACCTTACCTTTACCATCTGTTAGGATACGGATCGTGATCTCCCTTTAACGACAAAGAGACTCCAAAGACTGCAAACAGCAAGCAATTTTAGTGTAAGACTGGCTAGCCAGGGTTGAGCCGCCTACACAGACACGCAGGTCCGATAGGTTAGGCAAGACTCTGAACTTCTTCAAAGGAGATCTTATATAGGCCTTCACTGGCTGTTACAGCAAAGCCCGCACATTTCATGGCCAATAGATTCATAACACGTATACTTTCTTAACCAATCCATTTGAAAGTACATCACTCCTTAGCCTATAGATTCAAAGATCAGAATTTGTGTACATGGGTATTGTGGCTAGCGGGCATCTCATAACTCAGACATCTGGTTATCTTCTATGTCTATCCTGCTCCCTGTGATTTACAACTCATGGCACGTGCATTCAGGTAGAGGTGGATAAGGGAGGGCCAGATAAGGAAGAGTCAACAGTGGAGACAGAATTTACATCCCAATTAGGAAGAGTCAAGAGTGGATTTACAGCTCAGGGCTCTACTAGGCAGGGGGCAGGATTTGCATCTCAAGGCTTTACTAGGGAGGGGGCAGGTAAGGAAGAATTACTAATTAGCAGAGCTTCGCTCTGGAATTTCCCTCGGGGGCCCAGGGAACCTTACACATCCTCTTACTATCAAGTCAGCTCCAAGTCCCAACTTCATGACCCACTCTTTCCACAGACAGCCGTCAGGCTGCACCTGAGCCCACTTGTCCTTGGTGGTGTGGGAGTTGATCGCCATTACCTGATTTCTCAGGGAGCGTGAATTCAGGCTGGAGCTAGAAATTGCGCTTTGCAGGAAAAGAAAGTCAGTTCTAGACTTAAAAAAATTATTTATTTTAATTTTTAAATTTAAATTTATTATTTTTAATTTATCATAGTGAGATACACAATTACAAAGTTGTTGATGATTGGGTTTCAGTCATATAATGTTTCAACAGCTGTTCCTTCACCAGTGGTCATTTTCCCACCACCAGTTTCCCTCCCCCATCCCCATTTCCATCACAGCCACTTTTCTTCTCTCTCTCTCTCTCTCTCTCTCTCTCTCTCTTCCTTTTTGGCATTATGGTTTTCAGTACAAATACTGAAAGGTTATCAGGTGTATTCCTTTACCTACTTTCAATATTCAGTTCCTATCCAAAGTGATCATTTCCAACTATTGTCATTATGCTGGCCCCTTCTCTATCCTAACTGCCCTTGGGCCTCCACATACTTGTGGCAAGTTTCCAACCAGTTCTAGACTTTAAACAGGGCTTTTTAGTCCTAGCCTTTCCATCACTAGAAAAGAACTTCAGGAGAAGAGCAGTGAGATAAACAGGTTTTATTTAGAAATTCTCAGGAATGGGAGGGAAGGGAAGAGGAAAACACTCAAGAGAGACCGTGGGCCTCTTCACAGGCAGAGAGATTCCTGAACGACTTCCATGCCAGGCTTCTAGATGAATATTCTTCAAGTAGCCTTGGGCTGGACTTTTCTGAGAAGGGCCCTGGGGTTTCCCCAGGTGTTAGACCAAAGGAAGAGCTTCGAGCTCCTCAGTGATTCTCTGTATCACAGGGTTTTCTATGCTGGTGTGTCCTCTCTGTGAGGGATTCACTCTTGTCTGGGTCTATAAAGGCACCAGGTAAGCCTGAACAGTTCCTGTGCTCTCAGGTTTTTAGCAGCCTTAGTCTATTGGCTTTATCACTTTTCAAGAACTCATTGCCCTGGAGGCCCCTTTCCCAATCTGTCTGTCTGCTTCATTGTTATGGTCAATATTCTCTGTGTGTGTGGGGGGGGGGGGAAGGGGACTATGACCAGGCCTTGCAACCACACCTGGCTATGGCACATGAACGTTATTTTGGCTCTGGTGCATGTCAGGACCACACAGCATGTTGCTCATGCCCTTTGTGATCATCCACATTTGCTCACCTTCCTCCGTGCTCACAAACCTGAGCCACAGGACTGTACTCCTTAGCTGGGCATGCCCCGGCAGGTTCCACTGCAACCCTCACAGGTGTCGCATGCAGACTCCAACATCTTTTGAATTGTAACTCACTGGGGTCACGCGTGGGACTGTTGAGCTGCTGGAAAATGCAGTTCAAGGGAACCCAGACAGAAAACAGCTCAGGCTGCAGTGGCTGAACCAAGGGTTGCACCCAGCTCATGTGGGTTGAACTCCTCATCACGTGGAGTTGTGCTCACATTTGCATGGCAAATGTGCTCAGTTTCCATGCTGTTCCTGCAGATTGGAAGGGCAGCTCTGGGCCAGGTTTACAGTGGCAGGGTGGAAGGCTGGGCTGAGGCTGATTCACTGTGTTTAGGAACTTTCCTGAGTGACCAGTGTCTGACTCTAGTGCAGCCGAGGCTCAGAAAAGGATAAGGAGAGTGTGGTGTTCTGTGTCTCTGCCTCTGTAGGGCTCTGCCAAGCCCTCTTGGCTTCTGGAGGCAATTTTGGAAGCCTCCAGTGGCTGCAGACCTGTGGGGCTCCATGTTACAAGAGCAGACAATACCTGGTGGAAGGACCCACTGGTCCAGCCACATTCCCACTCTGGCCTGGCCATGCCATGGTCAGGGTAAGACTTGCCAGTGTGACTACAACCTGACTCAGTTCCACTGTGCATCTGTAAGGGAACAATCCCTGGTGTGTCCGAGGACTCCTGTGTCACTCTGTGCATTGAACTGGATCACTGCTCTGTTGACACAAGATGAGGGTCCTTCACACAGAACAAACTTTCGGGGTCTTCTTAGCAAACAAGGCTGGGGTGAGTGAGTGATTCTGAGAGA